ATGACTGCGGGACCAGTTCACAACTATACGAAATTGTTCAAGAAACATGTACACCATTAACATGTTTGGGTACAAATCTTAAAAAGTTTGATGATGAAGGAAAAGAAACGGTTATGTGCTCTCATGATGTAAATGAAAAATCCACAGGTTTGTACATTTGAAAGTTCATACTATAGACTTGATCAAGTGCATTTTTCTATATAAAATTAATAAAAATAATCGCCAAAGACTGGCTGAATCATAGTTTGGTTGTATACAATATACATTTTTTTGTATCTTTATGTTTTTATATGTGTGTGTGGTGGGGAAAAGGTATGAATCACAGATGTAAAACACATCTCATCACCGTTAAAACCCACATCCTCTCAAAGTTAATACATAATTTCAAAATTGTCATAGAAAAAAGACATTTTGGTTAAATGTCACAAAACAAATTGAATAATAATAATAATAGTTATTCAAAATGAACAATAATAATAAAATAAAACCGATTTCTGTGGTATTGTTGATTTTTTTTAAATTAGCATACGATTTGTAACTAAATCAGGTGAACGACGACGTTTAAGTTTGACAATTTTTCGAGATGCTGGTGCATTTGACACAGAAGGTTACTGTTTGGATTCGATTGTTGCAGTGTCGTTTTCAATGATTTGATAGTCATTGTCAGCATCAGCGTAAGCCAAGTCACATTCACTTGAATAAATATATTCAAATGCCCGTAATTCACATTTTGATAATTGTGGCATTTTTGATTTTGGCTGATCCAATTTTGGTTGGAGTGTCGTTTAAATCGTCGAGTTTGGCACTGTTCACTAATGATGTTGCAGTGCCATTGACCGAAAACGTAGCAGAGTTAAAAATTTATAAGAAAAATCAAAATATTTAAATCAAATCGACTAATCGAATATCTAAACATAAACAAAAAGTAATCAAATTCCAAATATTATTGATTATTTCAAATAATAACATGAATTTAATACAGAATGGCTATGAAATTTTAAAAATCAATGTGATAATTTGTTTATATCTCTTTGGCTGTTCGGAATTTCATTTTTAAATGATTCACAATAATGAAATATTTTAAAATGTATATGAACCATTCTTGGGGTAACACCAGCAGACGTTTTTATCACGTCAAACTTTGTGCTATTATTGAAAATCGGGAACTATTAACTAGTTACCCAACTTCACGATTCGCAATGTAAACGGTCTTAATTCTATATTCTATGCCGCATTGTTTGTAGGGCTCTTCAACATTAAATTTCAAGCGTACGATTTAACTGCCGAACATGATAAATTTTGCAACAGTAGACTTCAGAGTGGAACATTACGATTGGATGCAAAATATGTAAAAATCTTTTAATAATTTTTATACAATTATTTATGAACAAAATAATTTTTTTTTAGATAATTGTACCGCCCATTGTTTAGATGGTGAAGATATAGACGATGTAAAGATTTAGTTCAATGACAAAAATCAATTTCAAAAAAATCAGAATTGGAGCTAGAATATGAATGCGAAGGTCTTGTAAAAGAGGGTGAACTTTTCACAAACCATTTATTTGTATAATCGAGATACGTCTCCGGGTATGGAAAAACATGTTTCACGTCTGGATTAAGTAAAATACTCACTTGCAGCGCATCAGCAATGGAGCTAAAGTTGATCTCAGTAACAGCCGTATGCGGACACCTCTTCATTTATCTGCTTTGAATGGTCATGTTAAATATTTATTTTTAATAAATAAGAAATCGGTTTGATCATTTTCATTACTCGGTGTAACTTTTCAGGACACAAGGTTGTCGCTGAAAAGCCTGTCAGCAACGGAGCCAAAGTTGATATTACAGACGTTTTTAATCACACAGCTCTTCACTTAGCAGCCAAGAATGGTACCTATTTTCAATAAATGTGAATTTGGTTTGATCTTTTTCAATGTCTGGTGTTATTTTTTAGGTCACAGGGATGTCGTTGAAATGCTCATCACGAAAGGAGCCAAGGTTGATCCTATAGACGCTCTTAAGCGGACACCTCTTCATATGGCTGCTGCAAATGGTAATTTTGAATATTTTCACTTAATAAGAAATTGGTTTAATCTTTCTCATTGGTCGATATTATTCTCCAGGCAACTTACAGATCGTTCAAATCCTTGTCGCCAATGGAGCCAGTCTTACTATTACAGATTATCGAAATCACACACCTTATCAGATTGCTATATATAATAGTAATGTTGAACATTTTTGTTTAGAAAAAAAATGTGATTCAAACTATATTATTTTTCAGATAAAAAGGAGGTCGCTGACTATCTCAAGGAGTGCAGTTTGATTTTGTATTCCCTCCATCTTAAGGAGGTTGAAGAAAAAAGACGCCATGGACACAAGTGAAATCAATTGAAAAACCATATGTTTTCCTTTGAGTTCCGTATTCGATTGTCATATAGAATATTAATTTCAATATATTTTTGTCAAACTTTAACCATATCAATATTGCTGCTTTGTACACCCAACTATCAACTTTAAGTCTAGAAGAGTGGCAAAAATTTGGATATTATTTCACATCTAATTTACTTTGCGCGATAGATATCGACGTCCACTCAACAAGTAATTATTGAATCTTTTTTTGACGTTTATTTTTATAAACTAATGCAACTTTTATGCAACAATTTGAATAATTTGATATGACAATTTCCGAAGAAAGGACAAAATTGATTCCAACTGAAGAATTGAACGAAGAAAAGAAAAAAAATTATACCTGAACACGGGGAGAAAACTGTAATGCGCTTGGATTGGCGCATACCGCATGCATTGCGCAAGCGGCCAATGCGACTCATTAAACATACAATAAAGTGACCGATGCGATTAGTTCGGTCTTGTTCTTTAATCAACACAGTCGTTGTTCTTTTAATTGTTCACTTGATAATTAGCACAGTTGTTTAGCATACACCACCGGTGTCCAGAGCAAAGGCAAGTATCAACACTAAGACTATAAATAAGGGAGTTTATAGCAATTCATGGCGAGTTTAAAGGCATAAGAACCACGATAGCATTATTTTTATCAATAAATTGAAAAAAAAAAGTATTTTAGTGGACAATTCAAAATAAAATACGTTAGTTGTGAGTGCAACAAAATGGGTTCTTCTGATTCCAAACCTAAGATCACGGAAAACTCAGGAGTTTTAAACAACAATTTGATTGTTGGAAATGAACTTAAAACAACGAACGACGATTTGGAGTTATTATTGAAAGTCATTGTGTTTATTTTAATTGCCATCGTCGCATTCATTTTGTTGAAACAAGTTTTCAAATATGCAAAAAAGGAACAGCGAGACATACTCTTATTGAATAGACAAAGAGTAGTGTAAATTGTCTCACAAATCGGAAATTGAACTAAAAACGTTATATACAAAAAAAAAACTCATTCATTTCTGTCCATTTTTTCAATAAATTGCCTAAGAACATTGTGAAAATTAAAGATGAACAGTTATATCATAAACGTGGTACACATTGGCATCGTTTTGGTAGGAACATGCTGTGTAGTGTATAAAATAAATAAGTGTGAAAAAGAAATAAAAAAAGTTAAACGAGCTCGACAGTCTGTCCGTGCATTTTATAGAAATATGAACACACCACAAAGAGTGCAAAGAGTTAGAATGCAACGTGACAATTCAGTGGATTAAAAATCAATTAAACGAACTAGACTTTCTTTGGAACAAACTCAGTTTGCATTTTGCCACCGACAACAACAGAGTAAAGTCACAAATTCTAATGAACTTTTCAACTGTGAAAAATTTCTATACAGTAAAACTTTTCTCTCGCAAAAGTGGACGTATAGTATGCCTTTTATCCGACAATTTTTGTATGCCTTCAATCCAACAAGATGGATTGATTGATACTGTAAATCGATTCCTCGTTGACAATTGAGGACATTAACTAATAGTATTATACCTAGAAACCTATGAACTCAATTTTTTATATAGATTCTTTATGGCGATTGATAGATTTCTTCTCTGTGTGTAGCTCAATATGCAATATGAACGTATGTAAATGCATATATGAAGTATAATTTCTTACTATGAACTATAAACAAATAATTATGAATATAATTTACCAGTCAATGACAGATAGCTGAGGATATATGCTGAGCATAGGAACTCAGTAAGCTGAGATTGGGACATTTTGACTTTATGACGTGTAGTCCATACAAATTTATGATGGCACGCATACAATTTCGTGCATTTCATCATGCATTTATATGGACTACACGTCATAAAGTCAAAATGTCCCAATCTCAGCTTACTGAGTTTCTATGCTCAGCATATATCCTCAGCTATCTGTCATTGACTGTAATTTACTACACACTTATTTGTATGCCTGAATAGGATTGAAAAAGTGATTAAATTAATGAATTTATTTAATTTTGAAGGTTGCTGATAAATTTTCATCATGTCAATTGCTTAAGCACGCAAATATTAATGAGTCATTAAAAAAATGAAACTCTTTGTTGCATTTCGCTATTTAAACATGTGTTGTTTTAACCGTATCAAATCATAAAAATGATTGAAATTAACAAAAACTCAGTTTTTCTATTTTTATTTATTTTTTGGTGCTTTTGTGGAGTGTCAAAACATAGAAATTGTCAATGGGGAAATAGATGGGGAAATTTCCCCTACCAAATAGCTCTATGGTACCGATGGCCCGGCATTTTACCGTATTTTCTTCAAGGGCACTATTTTGCAAGCGGAGGAACCATAATTGGCGACAAATGGATCCTTACATCGGCCCATTCCGTCGATGATGGATACGAATATTATATAGGAGCAGGATCATCAAAAAGCAACGAAGGGGGCAAAACATTTGAAGTAAAAAACATCATATTGCATCCTGATTATAATGAAAATGATTTTACTCGACGGGCTGATATAGCCCTTTTAAAATTGGAGGAGCATATAGTATTCTCTAAAACAATGCAACGCATCGAATTAGCGAATGAATACTTAAAGCTATACGCAAAAGCCAAGCTGAAAATTTCCGGTTACGGACAATTAGGTTATTCGGGCCCATTGGACGTCAAACCCAGAAATTATACAGCTGAATTTATATCAATAGAAGAATGTAAAGGATACTATACACATTTGCCCAGTGACACGTTCTGCGTATTGGACAGGAAACTAATATCGCAGGGTAAGTTAAAGCCAATTTTCATCGATTTTTATTTAAAAAAGTACAAATCATTTTTTTTCATTTCAAATTATGTTCAGTTTGGCTTGGCGACTCCGGTGGCCCAGTGACATATCAAAGTCTTAATATTGACGGAGCGAAAGGCAGACGGTCGCTTCTGCGACCATCTGGCACTCCATA